GCTGATGGTATACTGCGCGTTACATTACTGACCGGTGTACTGTGCGCCACACAGCTGGCCTCTGTATTCTGCATTGCACCACTGACTTCTGTACTGTGCGTTGTTACTGATCTTTGTACTCTGCGTCACACCGCTGATCTGGCGGAGTTAAGGCTGGGGGAGGGTAGGGGTTAGGTGGGAAACTGGTGGCGAGTAACTTTTGAGGCCTGGCTAGTAGCTTAGGACTTGAAATTTTGAGCACTGGTATAGTGTATGTAATAAGTTTGGGTACTGTAGCTGTCAAGGTTATACTTGTTGGTAGTATAACTGTACTATAATAATTAGGAATTCTTGAGCTTCCAGTATCATGAAGCAGGGCAGCGAGTCATTACACGCTGCCCGACTTCCTGATTGGCCGGAAGCCGGCTCCAAGCTCCCTCATCCTGATTGGCTTCCCGACCGATCAGGATGCCGGGCAGCATGTCATTACACCGATCGGCTATCTGATTGACCAGAAAGTCGGCTCCATGCTTTCTCGTTTGTATTCGAACTCAAACTCAATGCAAGTCACTGGGGGTAGAACTTTCAAAAACAATTTTCCCCTTTAAGAGGACTGATATGCAGGTTATTGGCCATAAAAGGTTTATGGGGGTCCAGGTACTGCCCTGGGGGACGGAAATCAATAATAAAAAAAGTTTTTAAAGTAGCAGTGATTTTAACATCACTTAAAGGGTAACAATAAAAATGAAAAATTCCTTCAAATATCGTGCCTGGGGGGTCCCCTTAACCTGCCTGTAAAGTGTCACATCTGTACAATGTCTAGAACCTGCTGCAGCAAAACTGACACTTTGAAAGAAAAAAAATAACATTTTTGTTTTACTCTTAAAGTGTGCTGTACCCCCTCCCAAACAATACCAGACCTTTTAGGTCTGGTAGGAATATTATGAGGAACCAATTTTTTTTTTTTAAAGTGCAGGGTTCCCCCTAAAAGTCATACCAGACACTTAAGGTCTGGTAGGAATTTTGGGAAGGACCCCATGTAAAAAATAAAAAAAGTGTGTGGGGTTCCCCCTTAAAATCATACCAGGCCCTTAGGGTCTGGTAGGAATTTTAAGGAGGAACCCCACCCCAAAAAATGGGGGGGGAAATGTGGGGTCCCCCCTAAAATTCCATACCAGACCATTGATCCAAGCATAGGCCTGACAGGGTCGGAAAGGAAAAGTACCTTTTCCCCATGCTGATGGGGACAAGTGCCACCTCCCCACAAGCCCTGGGGGCGTTGGTTGTAGGGGTGCAGGCGGTGCGCTTATTCACATCAGGGTACCCCTTTAATAAAGGAGCACCCAGATGCCCCCCCTTTGAGAACGAGTAAGGGGTATTTGTACCCCTACCCATTCACTAAAGAGTTAAATAAAATAGTTATTAAAAAGTCCAGACTTTTGATAAAATCTTTTATTTGGAAAAAAACAAAAGACATGTTTTTGACGAGTCTTTTATTTTTATTTTTTAAAAATCCAAAAATGGATCCGCCGACGTAATCCATGGTCAATCACGATGTCCAGTGTTGTCCACAACGATGACGACTCGACAAAATAAAACAACAAAAAATAAATAGAAATAATAATAATAAAAAACCGACGACCGCCGTCCCGTCTTCTCCCCGCGGACTCCCGACACATAATGGCATTTTGACAGATGCCGGCAAATGATAAAATATTCTGCGAAGCTAGCGGTGACAGCTAGGTCCCCCGAATTGTGTAGTTTGACGTCATCTGACAGGTGAGCCATTATGAGGAGAAGTCATCATGGCTTTGCCCAATCATGGCTCTTAGAGAGTACTGAACCCTGATTGGGCAAAGTCTTGCAACTGACCTGTGGTCGGGTGCAAGCCTTTAGCCAATTAGGGCTTCACAAGGTGCATTGCCTTGTGGGATGTTGAGCGGTCGAGCAGACCACGAACATCCTTATAGTTTGTGTGTTCTGCATATACACGAACTAGCGATGTTCGAGTTGAACTCATGTTTGACTCGAACATACAGCCCATCCCTAATCATAAGTGACAAGCAACATGGCTTCAGGAAAGACCGTTCATGTCAAACCAACCTAATAGCGTTCAATGAGGAGGTGAGTGGCAACCTAGACAGAGGAAAGAGTAGTGTACCTTGATTTTAATTCTTGCTGATGATACCAAAATTTGTAGGGTCATAAACTCGACATAACACAGAAATATTACAGGAAGATTTGGATAAAATAGGTGGCTAGGCATCGACATGGCAGATGAGGCTTAATATTGAGACGTGTAAGGTTATGCATTTTGGAGTTAGAAATACCAGAGCAAGCTACTCATTAATGGGCGTTGCACTGGGGGAATCAGAGGGGTGAAAAGATTTGGGAGACCTTAGTAGCATGCAATGGCAGACAGCAGCAAATAAGGTGAGCAGGGTATTATCATGCATAAAAAAAGGGAATGTATTCTAAAGGCAAATCCATAACTCTGCCCCTGTACAAAACACTGGTCTGGCCACATCTTGAGTATGCAGTTCAGTTTCGGTTACCTATCCACAGAAGGGATGTCCTTAAGCTGGATAAAGCTAATAAAGGGGTTAGATTACCTAAACCATGAGGAAAGACTGTGTATGACACAAAATTGTTTATCACTTTGTGACAATTTCACATATCATACTATTTTTCTAACATTTTAGGAATGCTATTTTTGTTTGTGAAGCGCAGTGCCATTTTCTTTTTTCCTATTTTGGGTGTACTCACCTATTAAGCACAGCTGCTCTTAGAGTGTTATTTGATTCCTAGCGCAGTTTTTTTTTCTATCTAACATTACTAATTGCTCCACACTTTGTGTGGAACACTTATAATTGCAGCTATGGACATTTTTAGTTTTGTTAAATCAAGAGAGGTCAACTTGGAAGAAATTGTTGTAATACTCTCTAGAAAAGAATTAATCTTATGGTGGGACTTGGTAACACACAAACGGTATTTAAAGGAAGGTCTGACACCTAGAAGGTTGAGGTGGGATGTACCACCGAACGATGGGTTAAAAGGGGTAGACGCCCAAAAGGAAGGGTTTTCTTTTTTTCAACATAGTGAGCAACAATTGATGCAGATATTAATTAATAGAAAGAAAAGAAAGCTGGACCTAGCGGGAACTAAGATTAACACTTTGAGAGAAAAGTTGGCTCCCCATGCAGATTCTGAGCAACATATGTTGTTATCTAAGCAATTAGAGTCACATCTAATGAACAAGAATAAACAACTAAGAGAAAATAAACATAAAAAATATATTAGAGATACACTAGATTATAGAAATAATAGAGAGTGTACAAATGGCAGAATAAAGTAGAGGAATCTCTAAATAATATTCCAAAGACAAAGGTGAGGAGAGCATTGAAGAGGAAAATGAGGAGGTTATTGAAACAGTGTCAGAATGGAAACCTGTACAAAAGAAAATAAAAAAAAGGGAGAAAGAAGGATCAAAAGGAAAAGATAAAAAACCTACAGAGAACAATAGTTGGGTGAGACAGAGAGAACAGTCCCCTATTCATACGTCGCAAAGATACCATCCCCTATTAGAACATGAAGATGATAGATCTAATATTAGAGAACAGGGTCAGGATAGGAGAGATTTTTTAGAACGGGGACGGAATACATGCCCATCAGGCTCCTGGGGACATACACAGGAGAGACAATGGGCCCCGAAGTATTATCAGCATATGAGAGAGAGAGGAGAAGGGTGTAATACCGCCGACTCGGCTGCCTCTGATTTCCCCACCGCGGCCTTCTGCGTTCCACCGTGGAACGCGGAAGCCGCACGAACTCCTGATTGTGACGGGGCGGTTGCTTTCCACGGTGGAACGCGGAAGTTGTTCGGGCCGATCAGCGGTCCCTCCCCACTTCCTGGCCCTATTTAAAGGCATGGATGAGGCAGCATGGCGTTCCGTGATTGAGGTCTGAACGCCTGCTGCCTCACGAACCTGCACACCACCTTGTTGCCTCTCAACCCTGCAGACCATCCTGCCGCCTCACGAACCTGCACAGCACCCTGCTGCCATCTGGAAGACGGACCTGCGCAGTGTTGCTGTGGGAGCCACCTGATAGACTCAGCCACCATCAGCCGCTACCAAACCGCAAGTACCATACCTGTGGGAGGGCACCGCTGTTACTCTGCATATTGGCTCATATATAGACTGTGTGCTAAACTGCTATTCGGGATTCTTCCTTAACCCAGCACCACCTACTGCATTCCTGTATCTAAGTTCGCAACCACTGGCTATGACTCAATAGTACCGTTTTCATTTGTGTTGATTTACGTTTATTACATGATGATAGAATCTCAAACTCACCGTTAAGATTGTGAGTGACGCCTGAGATTCATATCTGACTGATCCCCTACTCCGCAGTTGTGATCCAACCATTGCACTTCCCGCAGTCGTAACAAAGGGAGAGAGAATTATTGGACACCAAATATAAAAAGAAGAGGGAATCATTGGCACAGAGAGCATGGGAACCACAGATGGCACCAGGGAAGAAATTTCCCACCCAGACTATGGCAGAGAGAAACCAGAGGAAGAGAAGGGGGTGTAGGGGAGGTAAGAGAGTACAGAGCAAGAAGAAAATGGGATTAACTGGTAAGGGAATTTTTAACCTTAGTTCCAGGCCCTTAACGGAGGAGGAAAATAGGGTGTTGGATTTAGGCCTTAAGTTTGCACCAGTAAAAGATTTAAATAAATTTGACACCTATATTGATTTGAATACATTTGTTAGAAAGTTAAATATAAAAAGATATTATGCTAATTCACAGGGTTCAATGGTGAGAGGGAACAGAGGAGAAATATCGGATAGATTTGTTCATACAACATTAAAGAATAATTCTGTTTTCAATCCACAAAACAGTTCGAATCATCACATAGAAATTAAATTCCAGCATACACGAGATAAGAGTTACATCAGCTGTGGGATAAACAGTTTGGAGAGCAAGAAGGATATAATAATCAGACCCGCAAATAAAGGGGGAGGAGTTGTAGTTCTAGATAGATGTTATTATTATGAGAGGGAAATGGCTCGAATATTGGGAGATGAGGATACCTATAAAAAATTATGTAATGATCCCACTAGTAAATATAAGAAGGAATTAGAGAAACTGTTGAAAGATGAATGGAACAAAGGGATTTTAAATAAAAAAGAATATAAATATCTGTTACCGTCCACCTCAAGAATACCGGTAATATATTTTTTGCCAAAAATACATAAAGATGCGACTAACCCTCCGGGTAGGCCAATTGTGAGCGATATTGAATCGTTACTATCACGCACAGGGGAGTATGTGGACCAATTTTATACAACCGCTGGTTAATAAGACAAGAGCTTATTTAAAAGACAGCAGTGATGTTATAAAAATCCTAGATGGAATAAAAGATACAAAGGATCTAATTTTTGTTACAATGGATGTTTAATCCTTATATACGAATATTGATCAAAAATTAGGTTTGGAAGCTGTGTTATGGGCACTAACAAAGGATGATAAACTATAGAATGAACAGAGAGATTTTATCATTAAATGTACAGACTTCGCGATGCGGAATAACAATTTTTGGTATAGTTTGAAATATTATCTCCAACACAGAGGTGTTGCTATGGGCGCTAAATTCGCCCCGAGTGTAGCAAATGTATTCATGGCCAGATGGGAAGAGGAGGTCATTTTTAGCACAAAGTGGGAGGGCCTGTCCCTCTGGCGAAGGTATATAGACGATATCGTGGTGCTTTGGCAAGGGGACAGGACATCTCTATCCAAATTTTGGAACATTATTGACCAGAATGAATATGGAATAAAGTTCACCAAACATAGTAGTGAAGAAGGGATCCGATTTTTGGATCTTTACATTACAGTGAAAATATGTACAAAAACATTCTTTAAAACAACAGATCGTAAGGCTGGTTCACACCTAGGCGTATCGAATATGCGCGTTTGCCGACGCGTGTTTGTACCGCGGTGCGCGGTAAAAAAACACGCGACAAACACGCATTTCTGAGGGCTACTTGGCTGTATCCCAATAGAAACGCGCGACAAAAACGCCCCAAAGAAGCTCCTGTACTTCTTTGGGCGTAGGGCATTTTTTAGTGCGTTCATACGGCCTGTAATAAGCCCAGGTGTGAACCATACCCATAGGAAATAATTGGATTTCGGTGTTTGAGCGTTTTGCAGAGCGTTCGAACGCGCTACAAATGGCCCAGGTGTGAACCAGGCCTTTTAGTTACATACCCACAAACAGTTGCCAAACAGTTGCCATCATCGTAATTGGATCACTGGAATACCCAAGGGACAATTAACGAGAGTTAGACGTAAGTGTACTTTAGATAAAGATTTTGAGATACAGGCTAACGATATCGCAAACCGTTTTTTTAGAAAAGGGGTATAACAAGTTGGAGATGGATAAAAAGAAAAAGAAAAATAGGTCAAACTAATAGAGGTGAATTATTAAAAACAAGAAATATAAATAATAAGGATTATACTATTACTTTTGTTACAGATTATTCAATTCAATATAAAGAATTAGGGCAGAATATGGTTAAACATTGGAATATTTTAATGAAGGACAAAGTACTATATCTTACCAAGCAAACCAAATGTCCCCCACATTAATGCATAATGTTATAGAACCCCCCAAAAAACCACTCACATTGTTTAATGGAATAGGATTTTATCCGTGTGGGAGAAGTGTAGGTTGCCGCTTAACAAAATAAAAAATAAATATAACACAATTCCAGTCTAATACAAATAATAAGAGGTTTAATATAAACAAATGTATTTCCTGTGGAATAACGCATATCACATACTTGCTCGAATGCCGTGTGGGCAACAATATGTGGGGAGGACCGCGAGACAGCTTAAGATTCGGATACAGGAACACATTAATATTAAAAATTGGTTCACTAAACTTAGTGTATCTAAACATTTTAAACTGTGCCACAACAAGGACCCATCGAGTCTAAAATTTTGTGGAGTTGATAGAGCTATGAAATACTGGAGAGGGAATCATTTAAAAAGAGAAATCTCTCAAAGAGAAACAAAGTGGACATATTTGTTAGACACTATGGTCTCTAGAGGTTTGAACATTGAACCGCATTTGAACAGTTTTTTAAGGAATGACTAAATTGGTATAATCGCGTCTAATTATTTAAGTGTTTTTAGATGGTTTCATTATTTCCCCATTACTTGTCTTAGTTCATTAGAAGGTTTATGCACCACCATGCAATTATAGTTTGTTTGATACAGAGCTTTATGTTCCCTATTTATCATATACGGTATACATACACAAGTAAACATTTTTCACACTATGTTTATAAGTTATACCAAAACATTTCCCACACCATCCTCTATATGTCTTAGTTATTGTTCTTTGTAGCATTTTGCTTTATACCGGTTTATGTTTTTTTCATTAGAAGTTTATGCAACATTATGCAATCTATTAAGATTGTTTGAGATAGAGTTATATGGACATGTTATATATTATGACATTTCCCACACCTTCCTTCATATACCTAAGTTATTGTTTTTGTATCATTTTGTTATTCACATTATAAGTTTATATATACTACTATGCATTCTATGAAGACTGTCTTTATATATGTATATATATAATATACATTTCCCACACTATGTTTTTAAACATTTCCCACACCATCCTTCAAATATCTTAGCCATGGTCCCTTTTGCAGCATACAGTTTATATGGTTCCCCTTTTTTAACATGGATCCCCCCCATCTTTTGTTACTACATATTTTAACATTGTGTTTTTGCCAATTTTATATATAAATATATTAGATCCAGTTTGTTCAGGACTGGAATTAATTCACGTCATATATCCATTGAATATCCCGTGTATGCATCCTCCTCGACTCTCTTAAATGTTAAATGTTTTTATGTATTGTAAGATTTTCATTGTATGTATATATTATGGAGTCCAGTTTGAAACTGTTTTAAGAGATTATACACACTAGAATACAGTGACACCTAGTGGCAGGAATTTGATTACCATTATGTGTGATATAAAAGAGGAAAGGAGTTTGTAATGCTCGTATGCAGACCGTCGCCTCAGAGGAAGTCAATAGTGACGAAATGCATCAGTTTGGCGGATCTATGCGAGCATTGCAATCATAGAGACAGGAGCTCCAGTGGACACAATCCATGTGCAATTGCCTTATTTTAATTGTAAGTGCATTTTAATCATTTTAAATACATTTATTCTGACATACTACACTATGGGAAGCCTTTTTTTCTCTCTCTGAGCACAAGAGAAGGTGGAAAATTGAGGAATAGTTTTACACGGGTTTGGAAAGATAAGCCAGAGTTGGGAGGAATCTACCCCAATTTATTGTCGGATTAAAAACAAAGGAGAGGATTTGGTTCTATATATCAGCAAAGCACTAATTGTTCATCTGAAATACGGTGAGCAATAGGAATCGGTGAGTGCGGCCAGATCTTATGTTTGAGCACGGTGGAGACTGGAGAGCACTTATTCACTAATTGTTTATGCATTCACGGACGTGGTGTTGATTATACAAGTTGGAAGATATATCCTCACATATTTCAAGGACTTTATTGTATCCAGAAGTAATGGACTTCACATATGGTTATGTAGATTAAGAGGGAGTTGTACATCACTTGTGAGATTAAACACAGGATTTTCAATATGTACACATTTTATGAGATGTACTAGCAGTGGCGGAACTTCCACCGGTGCTCCGGCACCGGGGCCTCAGCCTGGGGGGGCCCAGCACAATCCCTGTGCATAGATGGTGGGACTTGCCGGCCGCCGGATCGGTATCCAGCAGCCCGGCGATTTGCGGAGATGTGATTGGAGAAGGAGTGGTTGCGGAGATGTGATTGGAGAAGGAGTGGTTGCGGAGATGTGATTGGAGAAGGGGGTCTTTAGATATGTGATTGGGGAAGGAGGGGCTGTGGAGATTTGATTGGAGAAGGGCAAGCTGCAGAGATATGATTGGAGATCAGACATTTGATTGGAGAAGAGGGGGCTGCCGAGATGTGATTGGAGAAGGGGGCTGCGGAGATATCATTGGAGAAGAGGGGGCTGCAGAAATGTGATTGGAGAAGGGGGTCTTTAGATATGTGATTGGGGAAGGAGGGGCTGCGGAGATGTGATGGGAGAAGGGGGGCTGCAGAGATATGATTGGAGAAGGAGTGGTTGCAGAGATGTGATTGGAGAAGGAGTGGTTGCGGAGATGTGATTGGAGAAGGGGGAGCTGCAGAGATATGATTGGAGAAGGAGGGGTTGCGGAGATGTGATTGGAGAAGGAGTGTTTGCGGAGATGTGATTGGAGAAGGAGGGGTTGCAGAGATGTGATTGGAGAAGGGGAGACTGAGGACATGTGATTGGAAAAGGGGGTCTTTAGATATGTGATTGGAGAATGAAGGGCTGCGGAGATGTGATTGGAGAAGGGGGGCTGCGGAGATATGATTAGAGAAGAGGGGGCTGCGGAAATGTGATTGGAGAAGGAGGGGCTGCGGAGATGTGATGGGAGAAGGGGGGCTGCAGAGATATGATTGGAGAAGGAGTGGTTGCGGAGATGTGATTGGAGAAGGAGTGGTTGCGGAGATGTGATTGGAGAAGGAGTGGTTGCGGAGATGTGATTGGAGAAGGGGGTCTTTAGATATGTGATTGGGGAAGGAGGGGCTGTGGAGATTTGATTGGAGAAGGGCAAGCTGCAGAGATATGATTGGAGAAGGAGGGGTTGCAGAGATGTGATTGGAGAAGGAGTGTTTGCGGAGATGTGATTGGAGAAGGAGGGGTTGCAGAGATGTGATTGGAGAAGGGGAGACTGAGGACATGTGATTGGAAAAGGGGGTCTTTAGATATGTGATTGGAGAATGAAGGGCTGCGAAGATGTGATTGGAGAAGGGGGGCTGCGTAGATATCATTGGAGAAGAGGGGGCTGCGGAGATGTGATTGTAGAAGGGGGTCTTTAGATATGTGATTGGGGAAGGAGGGGCTGCGGAGATGTGATTGGAGAAGGGGGGGCAGCGGAGATGTGAATGGAGAATGAGTGGTTGCGGAGATGTGATTGGAGAAGGGGGTCTTTAGATATGTGATTGGGGAAGGGGGAGCTGCAGAGATATGATTGGGCCTAGAGCTTTTTCTTTATCATCAGCACAGGCATTGTGCAACACAGGTGTGTGTTGCACAGTGATCTGTCACTAAACAATAACAACTGGGCAGAGCCGGCTGTGATGTCACAGCTGACTACGCACAGTTGTTATTCATTGGCCGGGACCTGCTACAGGACTATAGCAGGTGCCGGCCAATAGGAAACAGTTGTTTTTTTTCTTTAAAATATTTTTATTTAAATTTAATCTTCCTATTTGTTAGCTTTTTAAAAATCGTTTTGCAATTTATTCATTTTTTAACAATCTTTTGACTGATTTGCTATTCTGCTCGGTACCATGGAGGTATTGAGCAGAATAGCCGAGCCGGCATTCGGCTATTCACTCACTGCCGTTTGGCCCCTATGAGAATAGAGGTAAATGGCAGCGAGTGAGGTGCTGTAGTTTCGGCTCAGCCGATCCAGATGTTGGATCGGCTTATTCGAAGTCCTTCTTCACTTTGGCAGCCGAAGGCAGCCGATGTACGGCTGATTGCAGCCAAAGTACAGCTGAAATCAGCCATACTGAGCTGGAGTAAATAGCTGAATGCAGTTTGGCTAACTTCACTATGGCTGGGTTATTCACTCGGCTGACTTTGGCAGCTTTGTGAATAACCCCCAAAGTGTTTTCCACAAAGAACTAGAAAAATGTAAATTTGTACATGCACAGCCTTTGATATAAAATAAAGAAAACGTGTGGCTTGTATGAATATTCTAGCCAGAAGACCCAGCGAAAGAAAAAGCTGCATACAAACCTCTATGCCAGGCAACATGTAAAATGTCTCATTAGATTGGTTAGATTCTCTTTATTTGTTGTCAGTATTCTATGATTCTTATATAGTTTATTTCTTTTTTTCAGGAATCCACCATCATTTCTACAGCTATAATTTGAGCAGTCTGAAAAGTTACTACTGCTAAGTTGTTATTCGTTAGAACATGATGAATCCCGGAGGACACAAGCTATATGAGTGCTCAGAGTGTGAGAGAAGCTTCATTTCAAAGTCACTTCTTACAGTTCACCAGAAGATTCATAATGAAGGGCAATTATTTGATAAGACACATCTTACTCAACAACACACTGGAAAAAAGCCATTTAGATGTTCAGAATGTGACAAGTGCTTCACAAATATGGGAAATCTTACCAAACACCAGAGAATTCACACTGGAGAGAAGCCATTTCGATGTTCAGAATGTGACAAGTGCTTCATTCAAAAGGGAAATCTTACTCTGCACCAGAGGACTCATACTGGAGAGAAACCATTTAAATGCTCAGAATGTGACAAGTGCTTCACAAATATGGGAAATCTTTCTAAACACCAGATAATTCACACTGGAGAGAAGCCATTTCGATGTTCAGAATGTGACAAGTGCTTCATTCAAAAGGGAAATCTTACTCTGCACCAGAGGACTCATACTGGAGAGAAACCATTTAAATGCTCAGAATGTGACAAGTGCTTCACAAATATGGGAAATCTTTCTAAACACCAGATGATTCACACTGGAGAGAAGCTATTTCGATGTGCAAAATGTGACAAGTGCTTCACACTAAAGGAATATCTTAGTCGGCACCAGAGGACTCATACTGGAGAGAAACCATTTAAATGCTCAGAATGTGACAAGTGCTTCACAAATATGGGAAATCTTTCTAAACACCAGATGATTCACACTGGAGAGAAGCTATTTCGATGTTCAGAATGTGACAAGTGCTTCATTCAAAAGGGAAATCTTACTCTGCACCAGAGGACTCATACTGGGAAGAAACCATTTAAATGCTCAGAATGTGAAAAGTTCTTTACAACTAAGGGAAGTCTTACTACCCACCAAATGATACACACTGGAGAGAAGCTATTTCGATGTTTAGAATGTGACAAGTGCTTCACACGAATGGCTAGTATTACTGTTCACCAGAGGATTCACACTGGAGAGAAACAATTTAAATGTTCAGAATGTGATAAGAGCTTTAGAACAAAGATACATCTCACTCTACACCAGAGGATTCACACTGGAGAGAAGCCATTTCTTTGTTCAGAATGCGACAAGTGCTTCACAACTAAGGGACATCTTACAAGGCACCAGATGACTCACACTGGAGAGAAACCATTGAAATGCTCAGAATGTGACAAGTGCTTCACAACTAAGGGAAGTCTTACTAAACACCAGAGGATTCACACTGGAGAGAAGCCATTTCGATGTTCAGAATGTGATAAGAGCTTCACAACTAAGAGACATCTCACTCAACACCAGAGGACTCACACCGGAGAGAAGCCATTTCGTTGTTCAGAATGTGACAAGTGCTTCACAATTAAGGAAAGTCTTACTAAACACCAGAAGATTCACACTGGAGAGAAACAATTTAAATGCTCAGAATGTGAAAAGTGTTTCTCGTTTAAGGAAGATCTTTCTAAACACCAGAGGAGTCACACTGGAGAGAAGCTATTTCGATGTTCAGAATGTGACAAGTGCTTCACCCAAAAGGGAAATCTTACTGAGCACCAAAGGATCCACAAAGGAGAGAAACCATATAGATGTTCAGAATGTGACATGTGCTTCATACGAAAGGGAAGTCTTACTGAACACCAGAGGACTCACACTGGAGAGAAGCCATTTCGATGTTCAGAATGTGACAAGTGCTTCACAACTAAGAGGAATCTTACTGTTCACCAGAGGATTCACACTGGAGAGAAACAATATAAATGCTCAGAATGTGAAATGTGCTTCTCAGTTAAGGGAAATCTTACTAAACACCAGATGATTCACGCTGCAGAGAAGCTATTTCAATGTTCAGAATGTGACAAGTGTTTCAACCAAAAGCAAACTCTTAGTCAGCACCAGAGAATTCACACAGGAGAGAAAGCATATAGATGTTCAGAATGTGACAAGGGCTTCTCACGAAAGAAATATCTTACTGTTCACCAGAGGATCCACACAGGAGAGAAATCATATTAATGTTCAGAATGTGGCAAATGTTTCACCATAAAGTCACATGTTACTTTTTACCAGGGGACTCACATTGGACAGAAACCATTTTTCCTGCTTAGATTGTGACAAAAGCTTTACATCAAATATAAATCCTATTGGACACCAGAAGATCCACAGAGCAGAAGAGCTGTGTTGATGTTCTGAATGTGAGTCTCACTTCATTTCAATGAGAAATCTTATTGGACAGCAGAGAAACTACCAAGGAGAGAAGTAAGTTATGTTCTGAAGACATAAACACAGGTCAAATCCAAAGACATATTGGGGTTGGTTTACTTAGGAAGTAGAGCTTGTTGACTTTGCAATCTGTATGTTCACTTAACTGAGTAAACAATATCTGAATATCCAATCATGTGCAAGGGAGTTTCAAAACAAATCAGAATTTTTGCTTTAACTTATTTGAATAATAGAACTGATCCGATATTTTCCTAATTCACTAAGCTCAATTGAACATATACTTTGTCGGGGGGCGCTAGTGATCAGCCAAGCAAGATGGCCGCATGTTGATATGACTCTACAGCACCCGGGCATGTGATCAGCTATTTCAGTACGCTATCCATCAATTCTGATCTGCTTTTCTCTTCACTTAACATCTACACCTGAGTGACTGCCTCATGCATAAACGAAAGTCTGCATCCCAGATTCAGTCACAGACTCCAGGCTCCTCACCTATGGTGCGCTTGGCAAAGATAGCATCTCCACCTTCCTCTTCAGGGCATCTTGTCTATTCCCTGGAATTGGCTGATGCAATCAACGGCTCCTCTAACAACAGTCTTCCGCCACACTCACCTCCTGAACAACCAGAGGTCTCTTGTCAAGATGCGGCCCTCTTTGAAAAATGTAAGCTGCTGCTTCAAAGGAAACTTCTGGCCTCTACCGATAAAATTACATCTTAGCTTTCCAAGGAGATTAAAGAATTGGGCTTTGTGACTACACGAGATAGAGTAAAAGATAGATTATGTTTTCTCAGAGGTGGATTCTCATGAGCAGGATCTGGACTTTATTAAGTCTGACCTCTGCACAGTCATGCAAAAATTAGAAGATCTGGAAAATAGGATCCGTCGGGGAAACAAACAAATTTGCAGTGTTCCTGAGCATATTGAAGATCTTCAAACCACGGTCAGTGCCATGTTCCAAGAACTGCTCCTGGGTACCCGTTCGAGCAGCTTGAACTAGATTTGATCCACCGCACTTTCGGTCCTAAACACACCAACGGAGCCCCTGAGAGATATCATTCTTATACCAACGTTATACAAGACCAAAGAAGCTATTTTGCAAGCCACATGGGAAAAGCTGTCTTTATGTTTTCAGAACTACAACTACCAAATCCTTGTGGATCTGGCTCCCCTAACCCTACAGAGATGGAGAGTGTTCAAGCCTTGTCTGAGCACTTTGTTACAATATGGCGTGAAGTGTGGATTTCAGTTTGAAGTTGTCTTTAATTATGGAAACCAAGTTTACTCATTCTCTTCCTTGGAAGAAGCTGGATCCCTCTTGAAACAACTACAACTCACAATCTCTGCTACCGCTGCTCCTTCCACACCTCCACCTCCAACCCCAAAGGAGCACCGTCCGACTCTGCTGTGGGAACGTAAATCCCAAAACCGTCACGGATTGACAGGGAGATTCTGCTCCTCTCAAGCTTCGACAGCCGATCCGGGTGACTGATTTATTTTTTTTGCTTTAACTTACCTGGTGTTCCAAGAGCTCTTCATTCTGCAACATTTCTCTTAGCTGGTCTTTTATTTGGACATCTTCCCCATCTACCATAATGGAACAGTTGGATTTCATTGATTACCCTTTTCTACTTAGTTTGTGAGTTAGACTTTTTTGTTTGATTTCTCAAGGACAGTTTTTTCCTTACCTCACTTTATTACCATTCTGTTTCATGTTTTGAGCACCAGTGAATAACCAGTGAATAACCCACCCAAAGCGAAGTGAGTTGAACGTTGTTCGGCTATTCACATAAAAACATTTTTTGTATTGAACCACCAATGAAAATGAGACACCACACCCCCAAATAATACATATATAAAAAAGAGGAGAAGGAATGGGGCTTTAAAAGTGTCGTATCCGGATAGCGCGGGACTAAATCACACATATGGATATTCATTCATTAATAAATGATTGATTTTAATTTTGACAGCATGTTCATTTGTAAAATACATAATGATTAGATATATATACAGTCAAATAAAAAATAGACCAGATAAAATTCATATCCCAAGGCGTAACATCTCCCTAGACCTCATTTGCACAACTCCTTATTTCTATGCGATATCATGATTGCTTATCTTTTTCAAATGTCCGTGATTGATTGAAATGTCCATAATAGTCCTCTTTGATTTCATACCGATGTTGTGCAATGGGTCCAGCCTTGATGTGTTTCGCCGGTCTGGCTTCTTTAGAAGATTAGGGAGACCGCCTATAGCATATATCTAGTGAATAAAATAAATAGGGACTACATTTATTGACCAGTAGCAATGCAATGTGAGTATTTGCTATTCACTATTTACAGTTCGGCTATTCACTTTTCACTATTCACTTCAGATTTTTACAACTGATTTCAGCCGTACATCAGCTGAAATCAGCCGTACATTGGCTAGCTTTTGCTGCACGTGCAGAAGGACTTCGGCTCAGCCAACTCAACATCTGGATCGGCTGAGCCGAAGCTTCGGCAGCTCCACCTTCCTTCCCTGCCGATCAGTTTGATGTTTCAGTCCTATACAGGATGTTTTCTGGCAAAACATTTGTCATGGGTCCAGCCTGTATTACACGTCTATTATATTTATAACTTTGTATTAAAAATATAAACATTTTTATTTGATGGAACCTAAATAAACAATTTTTTTTATCTACATGCATGAACCATGTCTCTGCCTCATTTAAACACATCTTACTTGTCTTTTCATCTTGCAATGGGAATGTGAAAGTATGAAGTACATCTGTGGAATGTCTTCTATTCTAAACTCTGTAAAGGTTATATATGTGACAGCTGGAAATTGTCAACCATACCAATCAGTATATAGATATAGAAAAGTACATTATAGGTATTCATATTTCATTTTAAGTTTCCAGATATTGGTTCTTTGATTGGCCCATCACTTTTCCAAAATATCCGCACTGTGATACACATAAAATTATAGCACCCCCTGCAATAGGGAGTTTCTTTTTTCAGTGAGTTATTTTTAAAGTTTCCTCCCATAAAGACATACAGATGTTGCAGATTTTCTCATTATCATACTAAGATTGCCTCAGGTGCTCATAATAATAGGGGACATTGAAAAATCAGTCTGAGAAAGGACATGGTAAAACAAAGAGGAAAGCAATTTAAAATAGAGAGACATAAATCTGTTCTATGTGTTGGTTTACCTGAATCTCACCAGGCTCTTTTTCTCTAATTCACTGGAGTGAGTACTGATATCAGGGAAATACAGAAATCAGACCATAAAGTATATTGTCACCTATTTCATTTCTCATACTTGTGCAGGATTTACTTTATAGAGAATGGTCCAATAGACCACCACGGACAGTTCAAAATTAGATGATAGTATTCCAATGTCTGCAATGGGAATGATTTGTAGACACCAAACCATTACACCTACAATATGACCAAAGGTCTGTGGCCACCCCTCCAAGTTTTTGAGTTCAGGCGTTTTCAGTAAAGGGCAAAACATTTTAAAAAATTGAAGTAGGGGTATGGTAGTCTAAAGACCCAAATATTTCCCCAAACGTCGCTGAAGAGCAAAAAAGAGGCCACGTCCCCAAATATGGAGAAATTGATCGGTCCTGTCCATGCCCGCTGCTACAAGTTTCTCCTCATGCAGTCATTCATAACACTGTAAAGGGTACTATTAATTCTACAGTATACAAAGATGTTTAAGGTAACTGACTGCCTCTACCCTTGTGGCAATTGTTTTATGTTTCAGCATGACTGTGCCCCTGTGCACAAAGCCACTTTTAGAAAGACATGATTTGCTGAATTTATTGTGCAGAAATGTAAGTGGCCTACACAGATCCTTGACCTAAACCACACTGAACATATTTGGGATGAATTGGAATGCATTGCCCAACATCAGTATCTCACCTCATAAATGCTATTTTGGCACAAGAGGCTCAAATGTCTACAGACACACTCCTAAATCTTGTGGGAAACCTTCCCAGAAGAGTGAAAGCTGGTATATATGCAAGGAGGGGTGTTCTTGGTTTTGGAATGAAATGTTCATATGGGTGAAATCTCCAGTGTATCTAAAGCCTTTCACACTTGTAGAACCTTACTAGTCTCTCATATTGTGTTATATTTATGTTTAATATATGTATCAGGGATTAGCATTGAGCATAATTGTAATGCCACTGTTTTGTTAATTAAGAATAGAATTTTACTGGATTACTTACAATAAGCTTTTAAATCCACCATTGGAGTGTAAAGCTTGTTACAAACATTAGATGGTGTCCTTATATGCATGCATGTCCCAGCCCCCAAATATACAGTATCTAACAAAACATTTATCTACAAATATGTAACTTGCCATCAGGCCAACTGGTATGTCTTCACCTATAGAGGAAGGAGCATAAATGGCAAGGGCCTCTTTAACGAGAAGCAGAATTAACTGCCTGGAAACATCCATCCTTCCCCCAGGCAAACTCGGCCAGGGTGTGTCAGCCATTACTGAAAACAAAAATAAAAGCTTTTCCCATGAATGATCTAATCAAATGATTGTTTTCTAATTCCAGCAGGTATTATAGTTTTCTTGAATTACTGCACTCGCTGTTTGTTCACGATTAAGAATCTCATGATATTCCCATGGTTCTTGAGTATAGTCTAGCCGCACAACTTCCTATTGGCTAATTTTATTAACTAATCAATGCGGGTGTGGGGATATCACAGGATACAAAAAAATCATGAATTGATCTTTGGCTGAAGGTGGGAGAATACATAAACAGACACCCGGTCTCACCTCAGACAGAGAATTTAACAACTAGAAATCTGAAATTGGCCAGATCAGAATGAAGTGACCCAAATTAACATTTTTTGCTGTTTTTATTAATCTCGGAGTGCTTTATGTTCCAATAAACAGAAATCTTAAATGTAAATATATTTGTTGGCTTTCTTTGGCACCACAGATGAGGGGAAGCAACTTACATGTGCTCCGTAACATAAATGAACCATAAAACCCTCTTTAATTTCTGCATCTCTTTCTATTGTGGATGAGCTCAGTGTCTGTATGCTTTAGGTGATGATACTTTTGGAATACTGCTTCTTATTTGGGGGAACCTCTCTATGCATCCTCAGATACGTTCAGTCTTGTATCATCATGGTGGTGGCACCCCAAATATTAGGCCGCAAACAGTTCACTTACTATGGAGAGAAGTTTTCTCCCTTCTTGTGGTGTTTGCAGGAAAGGAAATGAAGGGAAATCTCCCCAATAGTTCACAGATAGCTAAAGAATAAATTCAGAATGGTTGTAATCCTTTTTTACTCACATTTAAAAAACGTTTTTGTTATAGATACTTTAATAAAGACTCTCCAGTCCCTTTTGCCATTAATGATACAATTATAGTGTCACCTGTTAATGCTAATGATGAGACAACTGCCATTCATTTTCAATAAAGGTTCCCTCCTATTGTCCTCCTTCTACATATTAGAATGTTAATGAACTCGTCCTGGTTGTGATAATGAAGGAGAGCTGAAACAAAGAGCAGCTGAAACTCCCCCATTACAATGTAAACATTCCTTTCGTGAAGTAGATCTCACCTTTTCAGCCAATGGAGATCCAGCACATGTAAGTGAATGGTGGTGAAATGAATATAAGGTGAGGCTGGGCTTGGTCAGTTACAAGAACTGCTGGTCAAGAGAACATGAAGCTTCTATAGGACAACATTCTACATTATACCAGGTAGGTGCACTCTATATGATTGTGAGCTTTACAATTTACATGTTTTATCCTTTGGGCATTGAACTGAGAGACATGTTGGATGCAGGCAGAGTATATCTCGGTGCTCTTCTTCTTAGACGGTTTAGCTATTAAAACTCAAATCCAGGCAACAGATAATTCATAAATCAGCAAATCAATAACCTGGAAACATTGCATCTCTCATAATGTTTACTCAGTTTTACATGTTTTCACATTGCGCTTCTGGTAGAGATTGTAGATTGTTGTCATGTGTACCTTAATTTCTCATTGTCCAGGGGGGCTCATTGAGGAAAAAGGCTTTGGGGCACCAGGGAGAGTAAATCTGTCCCTGTATATAATGTATATATTTATATGGTAAAACATGATCCAAACAAAATTTTTCTTCTTCACTACAATAAGTGAGTTACAGGATTTAATGAATCTGTCTGTATTCGGGGAATAGCTAAGTGAAAGAGCAAACATCTGTGCTGCACCAATCCCCAGCAGTGGAGACTCGGAGCCCAGTTAAAAGAATTGCAATATACATGGTTATTCACTAAAGAGCTTAAGGATCGAGTCTTAGCTTCGACTGATCCTTCGGCTCTCTTTGGCCACCGGAGTCCTACGGTTCAATCTGAACCGAAGGGCTGCTTAACAGCCGATTCACAAAAGCCTGTACAGCAGTCGAAGGCGGCGGAGCGGCTCAGCCGAGCTGAAGGCATATGTTTTTAGCTCACCTGAACCAAAGTAGCAACCAAAGCGAGGCAAATGGCC